GTTGTTTCTCGCTCGAGGGAAGTTCTCTTTCATTGCAGAGCTCTCACGCCAAAATAAAAATATGGTTGGGTGAGGCAAATCGTCCTGGGAACCGCACCAAACACAGCGGCCCTTGTCGCGCACAAACACGTATCTTGAATCTAATTTGCGCTCCAGCGCACACTTTCCGCGGCCTCTAGCCACGCCCTTCATTGCGGATGCGACGCATGTACGCACGGTAGTACGCGTCATCTCGTTTGCCGCGGTTGAAGTCCTCCAGCTGGCCGTAGTCGATGCGCCTCGCCAGCATCTCCTGGATCTCCTTCGCTGGCGGGTACTGCCCAGTGCACAGCCACGACCCTGGCGCGTCGCACTTGCGGTTCTTCGGGTCCGCCACCCACGCCTTGCTCTCCGCGCTCACATTCATCACCTTGTAGATCTTCACCAGGCCGTGGCGCGACCTGTAGGCAAGCCTGAACATATTGTCGATCGCCGGACTGGGGCTCTCCCCAGAGACATGCAGGTTGTACAGCAACGACATCCGCATCATCGGCGTGGGACGACTTAGGTCGTAGTCCTCAAACCCAAAGTTGGAGCACAACGGGTCGTCCTCGGGGCAGATGTCGCGGTACACACTGTTGCCAATGCGTGCCATGTGCGGCGACTTCATCAAGTCCTCCGCCCGGCTGCCGGTCCATATCAGTACATAGTCGGCAAGGTGCCGAATGAGCAAGTGGGCCTTCGCCACGGGCGACGTAAGCAGCTTTCCAATTGTGGCAATGTGCTCGTGATTCCACGTGTTGCCGTCCGCAAGGCTCGTGCGATTCCCGATCCCCGTGATCTGGTAGCCGTAGTCCCACCATGCAAGAATGCGGGCGTCCGCCGGTGTGTTGTTGCGCAGCCACAGGTACGAGACGTAATAGTCGTCTACAAGTACAGGGGTGTTCTGCTCGGTCATCGAATACCACATAATCCGTGGATTAGATAGTGTGTGTGCCATCTTTATTGAATCTTCGTTATACGATCGGGCCATCGGATTGAAAAGAAGTGCTGCAAACACAAGCATTGCGATTGTGACACGTATTCCGTGGGGCCACAAATTGGCAGCGTCTTGAAAACGGTTTTGTAAAGAACGCTCATTGTTATTAGATAGATGCCCCTTTTTTTCAAGTTTTTTGCTTCGAATCGTTGGGGAACCTTTGCTTTTCATCGACTCTACATTCGTCCAAAAAAGAAGCCTGACCGCCCAGTCCATAAGGCCTCCAATTACTCTTCCGGAGTATGATGCTGCAACTGGTCCAGTTAGCAAAATCAAGCGTGACATGCGGCAGCCGAAATAAAATACCATAATGGAGTACCAAATCATAAAAGTAGTTGCCCTTAAATTTTCGTTTTCTCCCGACAGTATTTGCGAAATCATTCCGATCAACCACAGCGGACAACACAGATGAAGAAGCCTCCACAAAGCGCCCCCACTAGATGGACGGTGCTCCGCGACGGAATCTACGAGAGGGTTGCCGGTGCGGGTGTGCTGCACAAACAAAGCACGGACGCGGGAGGAGAGGGGCCCGAAGTATCCCTGTGGTGCCAGCAGCGCTGCAGCCAGCACAAGCACTCCGCAGGTGATCATAAATACCCGTGCACGGATCCGCAGTGCCTTGGTGGAGCGAATCGGGACATCAGCGCGGCGCCGCAATATCTCGGAGAAGTGCAATGCCCACATGAAAATGAACACCAGCAACGCCATCAACTGCTCCAAGGACTTGAATGGGGTCCACCCCACGGGCGGCACACACGTCGCAATCGCCGTGCCCACCAAAAAGAACAGGGAGTACGCCCACAGCAGACTGGCATCGTACCTGCCGCGCATCCAGTCAGCAAAAACGCACACCGCGGCGTGCAGCGCCACCATGTTCAGGACAAAGATGAAGCCTCCCCAGGTCGACACCATGTAGCCGTACGCCAGCCCCGTAAGCACACCAATGGGCCATGAGCCTGCATTGCGCAACGAGCGCACCCACAGGTAGAATGTGAGCAGCATCGCCGCCATTGCTATACACTCATTGTCGTATTCGCCAGCCATGGAGCGCATTAGGTGGGCGGGTAGGATGGCAAAAAGACCCGCCGTCATGGCAGCCCCTGAAAACGAGCCCCACGTCTCGTACGCCAGAAGCGCAGCCAATACAGTCGCCACTGAGCCAAACCATGCCGGAATCAAGCAACACACATCGTTCATCGTCATGCTCATTCCCAGCATGGAAAGGGCCCTGCGAATAAGGACGCTTGTGATCTGTAGTCCAGGAAAGATGGTTGTGCCCACGGGCCGACCAAGCGGATACCAACTCATGTAGTCGTACCAGTGGAAAAAGGCATCCCACCCGTGCTCGTCGAGGTACTCCGACGCTCGGAAGTTGAACCACGGATCAAATTCGTGGATGACCTTGCCGTACACACGAATGGAAATCATACGAATGCTGTAGGCGCGGTAAATGGCAAGAGCAATAATAAATACATTGAGTATGGAGATGACCCGCCTTGCTGTAGAATAATCGAGTGGATATTTTCCACACAGTGTTAATTGTGCTGTGTCCATTCTTTACCTTTGGATTAAAAGTGTGTGTGGTTTAAGGAGTAACTTGTAACCGTATTGTTTTATTTCCCTTTTCCTTTTTCGTTTTCCTTCCCTCTTTTCGTGTGTATATTAAATTTCTTTCATAAAATAATATAAAATACAAACGGTACTACTATAGATTGTACAGCGTGTGGCTTCTGTGTTAAGTCTTAGAGCCACTTTCTACTTTTAGAAGGGCCAATATTTTTCTCTTTGATGCCTGGTTACCTTTTTTTTTTTTTTCCCCTCTATTTCAAGCGTTTCTCAACCGTCGTACTTAAATATCCGGTGCAATGTTTTTTCCTAAATAATTTTATATCAACACGTTTTTTTTTTTTTTTTGCTGTTTGTTTGTTTGTTTGTTTTATTTACTTTCTTCTCTATTTCTCTTTCTTTTTTCTTTTCTCTTTTTTGTTTGATTTTTGTCCAAATTTTGTGTGTGTTTTGAAGATACGGCGGTGTATTTCCCCTTTTTTTTTTGATGTGAAGAGTAAAATAAAAACAAAAAATAAATTTTCAGTTCGTGTTTTCCCGCGTTGGGTGCCCGCACCGCTCATGTATTCACAGAAACGGTGTACAAATGCATCACCCGCGTGGTGGCAACAGGCAATGCACACTGCGATGCGTGTTAATGGAGGGAGGGGAAGGAGGGAGAAGGGGGTTTTGGGGGAGGAGTTAACACGACAAGGCCCCCCTCCTTACGAATCCTGAATTAAATCTTCTTTGCGGATGTCTGGGCTTCCACACATAAGACGCCATGCGATCTCCTACGGTTCCTGTGCGAGGAAAGATGGACACAAAGCAAGCAAAAAAAGACACACACACACACACACACACAAGAAAAAAAAAAAAAAAGGTGGGCCTTTGTGTTGAAGTGTCCGTGCGGTATTATTTCGCAGACGATACGCGTTTCAATAGTCCTGCTTGTGCTTCACGCACACATATATGTCTGTCCGTCTGTCTGTGTGCGTGTGTGTGTTTGCATGTGGCAAAGGCCGTGGGGGCGTGGCGCATAATTCCGTCCAAACAACGCGGGAAGAAATCTTCAGAGTTGAAAAATGACATCCAACGACACTCGCCAACGGGTGTCTGTCCCACTTTCGCCGGGGTGTCGCCTACGGCCACAAGAAACATTAGAAGACACAAAAAAAAAAAAAAAAAAAGGCGGTCCATAGAAGCAGTAGGGAAAAGACATGTCAACATGTGGATTTTATTCGTTTAAACCCTTTCCCCTCTTCCCCTCTTTTTTTTTTTTTTTCCCTCTTCCCATCATTATCAATAACCGTAATAATAATAAAAATGCCTTTTTTTTTCTCTCGTTTTTTCCTTTCTTCCCATCCCTTCCAATATCCCTCCCCCCCCCCCGCTCCCTTCGTTATTTTTTATTTTATTTTATTTTACATTTCCATCACTTCTTTCCTGCCCCCCTTTCATTCAACCACCACACACACACACACACACAGTCAGTCAGCCAGTCAGTCAATGTGAGAGGGAGAGGGAGAATGGCACAGATGCCTACTCCGTTCTCCTCCTCCGCCTCCAGCTCCTCAGTATGTATGCCCCCCCCCCCCCCCACCCCTTTTTTTTTTTTTTCTTCTTCCATGCATTATTGCCATCAAACCAAACAAAACAAAAAAGAAAGAAAAGGGAGTGAAATAAAAGTTCCATAAAAAAAAAAAACGTTTTAATTCCCCTCCTTTTTTTATTTTTTTTTTTTTTCTTTTCTTTTCTTTTCTTGTCCGTTTTGTTTTGTTTGGTTTGATGGCAATAACAACGACAAAAATTCAAAAGTAAGGCACCAGACAACAACAATAAAAAAAAAAAACGGTGTTTCTCCTCCACTTCGTCATACAAAAAAAAAAAAAGAAAAAAAAAAAGAAAGAAACATGAGAGTTTCACACTACATGCAAGCATCATACACACACACACATATATATGTCTATATATAAATATAAATATGGCAAAGGAGGAAAAGAAACAGAAGGTTTCAACAGCAAAAGAGAAAAGAGGAAAAAAAAAAAAAAAAGAAAAAAAGAAAAACAAGTTACATGACGCATCCGTATTTAATATATATATATATATATAGTCATGTCACATCCGTAATGTTTCAATGCCACGTAACACGCGGTATGTACTTGCTCCATAGAAGTACGGATAAATGATACATGCACATAATAGGGTCATGGATGCCATCGACTCTTGAGGTAAATATGGTCTTTCTACACGTTAGTCAAATTTCATTCATGTAAACACAATCCTGAAAGAATACCCCTTTTCTGCTTCTTTATATTCTTCTCTTTCTTCCCTCCCCCCTTCTTTGGGTTGATTCTACTTTGCTTTCTTTTCCATTGTGTCCGCGTTTCCCTCAGTCTTCTCCTTTTCTTTTATATATGTATATATGTGTGTGTGTATGTGTGCGTGTGTGTGTTCACAACCTTCTTTTCGCCCACTCCTCCTCCTTCCCCATCTTATTCCGGGGCATGGACTAACGCTTGTATTACAATTTCTGCCAAATCTACGGCTGACAACATTTTGTTCTGCTGCAACTTTGAAAAGATGAGCGTATCATCCATAAACATTTCAAAAGCACCTGACTGAAGAATACTCCCACATATAAGGTTTGCTACAAACCCAGCGGCAATGATCATTGTACGGTTTTGTTCCACCCATGTCACAACATTCGGAGGAAATATCCCTACAAAGTAGGGTGCACCAATACCAATAATAAGTGAAGCAATAAAGAGAAGAGACAAGAATGAACCAATCGTTTCCCGTACAATACCTACAGAGTAAACAGATGGAAGAAACTTCAAAATTGGTTCTTGATTCTTATTTGGCGGCAAACTACGGGAGATGTGGTGTACCATCTCTTCATAGTGCCGCCGGTAACCTCATCCGGAACAATATTCCACACGGAGTACATGCGGTCTGCTTGCCTTTGTGTCTCGTCGTCGCCTTAATTTTTCAACAAGCTTCTCCTTCTTTTCTAATGTTATGATGGCATGAATAAGTTCCTGTTTGGATCGTAAATGATGAAACGGTTGCTTCTTCTCATGTAACATCTGCCGTAGGTCACTTACCTCAAGCATTTCAAGATATTTGAATAAAGAATCATCATCGCCCTCCGTATCAGATGTATCCCTGCCATCATCACCAGCTGCACCATGAACGGTTGTAAACATTACCAACAAAAATATTAGAAGTAGTGAAAAAAAAAGAGTACGTGGGCAATTCATTTCCTTTTTTTTTTCTTTTTCTCTTTTTTTTTTGTTTCTTTTCTTATCCGTACCACCACAACCACTCACGACCCCTACCACTTCTCCCCCTCTTCGGGTCCTTTATAAAAGTTAATCCTTTTTTTTTTTCTTTTTGTTTCCCCTTTTCTTCTTCTTCTTCTTTGCACCGCAGTAGGGAAGGGCGGAAATGAAAATAATAAACGTGGGCTTCCTCCCCTCCTACCCCTCCTACCCCTCCTGAGGTTCCTACACACGCAACGGAAATCCCACAAGGACCTGCCCGAAGCCATTCGATGCAGAAAAGGACGCATCAAAGGCCACCACCAACAACAACAACAAAAAAAAAGAAAAAAAAAAAGAAGAAGAAGAAGAGAACTACCCACGCATTGACAACGTGTCAAGAAGCGTTCCCGCTTACCTATACATGTTCCCTCCCACATAAGAGAAAATAATAATAATAATAAAATAAAATAAAATAAAATAAACCCAATAAAGTAAAGGAAGAAATAATCCAACAAACACATGCACACATTGTAGCTTAAATCTATTTCAGCACTACCGGGGGGAGATTTATCTAATGAATCTCAGCCTTCTTCGTTTTCCTGCATTCTGTTCCTTCCAAAATATAAATATATAAATATATATCCACCCTGTTGTTTCATCACAGGACCTTCCTCCTTCTTCCCTCCCTCTCTCTCTCTCTTTTTTTTTTTTTTTCTTTTCTCTTTTGTCTTTCCCCTTTCTATCATATCCGTGGCAACGTGTACATATGTATATATATATACATATATCTTGGAGTGCGTGTGTGTATGTGGGTGTGGGTACGGTGGTTCTTCCAAAACATCACTCATTACACACGCAAAACAAAAATTTCATTTATTTCTATATAAATCAATGAAGAAAAGGCAAATATTCAAATCTCTATGTCTGTCACCCCCACACACTTCCCTCACCATATTTGCATGTATATATATATATATGGAGTATGTGTGTACTTTATTGCCTTTTTTTTGTTTCTTATCTGACGCAAACTCCTTTTTCACTAACTAAGAAGTTTTTCAAGAGAAATGTAATGCATGGACTATAAAATGGTGCGGCATGTACATGCATGTCTGTCTTTCTGTAGAAAACACGCGATGGAGACCATGTGGCTTCATGTCGTTAGTTGCTGGGCTATGGTTGCTCATCCATAGTCACCGTCAAAAGCGGGCGTTCTTCAATACGTTCAAAAAAATTCCGCATCTCTTCCGCCCATGCATCCGCACGCGCTTTTCGCGCCGCCTCTTCCGCCTGACGTTGAGACTTCTGAAACGCTGGCGCAGAGCGACGACCCTCGGAACCGTGTAATTGTCGTCCATCCTCACTGTTGTCAGTTACTTCCCTTGTTACGGCTAACGGCAGCGAAGACGCGTGATGCGCAAGAGATAAGGGCCGGCGGCCAAGCGGCAGCCGCACGATAGCGTCGTCGCGCAAAAGATCCACCACCGCCCCACCTTCTTCCTCATCCTCTTCTTCCTCCAACGCCGTCCATAGTGGCGTGCTGGGACTTGGAAGAGTATAACCCGGCCGCATGGATAATTCTCGGGATTCCGTCGGTGGGTCTCTCACCGGCAACAGTGGGGGCATGCGGTTCCAAGGCGTAGGTGTTGGTGTTGCAACGGACACACGCGCAGCCGCAGGGGATGGTGTTTGTTGCGGTTGATTCGCTGCCATTGCTTTTTTAGCAACAGTGCCGCTCCGTCGGCCATCCTCATGAAGGGAGAGACAACGGCGCACAAGTGCTGGGGAGGACGCGTCGTTCCGCTCAGGAGGGCGTGACGCACGAGTCAAAACAGTTGCCGGTGTCGCCCTCAAGACATGGACACACTCTTCTTCTTTTTCTTCTTTTTCCTCGTCGTTATCGTCGCGTTCTCCCCACACAAGATCGATGGAAATCTCACGGTTCTGCCGTCGGCCATGTGTTTTCATTGGTGAAGCCCGTGCCGTTTGTGTGCTATGCGGCGGTGTGGAGCCACTCGTCATCGTCGCGGTAAGCCCATTCCCCATCTGTGCGTCACTTCTGCTGCTGCTGCTGCTTCTCCTCCTCTGATCGCTCTTCTTGTGTCCACCCACGCCCGGTTGGACGACGTGTTTTTGTGCCCCAACCAATTGCGTTGCCCATGTACGTCGTGTGACGGTGAGGCCAATGTGCTCCAGGGCGTCATCGCATTCCTCCCGTTCATCGCTGACGGTGAAACGGCGCGTCGTGCTTGCTGCAGCAGGGTACATGTTTCCTTTATAACTTTTTTAAATTTTTTCTTGTTCCTTATTCACTGATATACACACGTTACTGTATCGCTGCTAAGCACACACACACACACAGAGAGAGAGAGAGAGACAGAGACATTTACAAACAACAACCACACAAAGGTGTTAACCGCATAATAATCTCTCACACACCAATTGAATTCGGACTATTATTTTATTTTGTTGTTTTGCTTTAGATAAAAAGCATGTCTTCTAGTTTTCTTGTAAATTTATTTATTTATAATATCTTTATAATATTGTTTTTAGTTCCTCAGTTTCTTTCTCTCATGCGAACAGGACCGCCGTTACCACGTGCAATGTGCAACGCACCACCTCCCTTCGTGGCACGCCCACGTCCACCACCGCGTCTCATACCCTCTCTTTCCTGGGTGTGCTGCTGCTGCTGCTGCTGCTGCTGGTAGTGGAGGTATTGACGTGTCTGCCCACCACCTTCTTCTCTTTCGTACCGCGCCTTCTTGGAATGGTGAGTCCTCCCCTGCTGCTGCTGTTGTGGTGGTGGTGGTGCTTTTTGAGACGTTGTCGCGCCCTTCCCACGGCCGCTCCCATCAACCCCCGTCATGTCCGCACCTTCTTCCAGCGTAACAGACTCACGTAACCGGCGCAAACCACCGCGGACTTCTTTGGACCACTTTTCTCCCTCTTCCTCCGTCATGTTGACATCGACCAGTGCCGTCTTGGAGACATCGCCGTAGCGACGAGAGCTGCGCGTGGGGTCAACCTCGCGAAATCCGCGTTGCCGTCTTCGCTCAATCTTCAAACGATCTCGCCGGTTCGCATCTTCTTGAAGGTACGCCGCATAGCAACTCATTGGGACCAGCATGTTGAGCTGACGGTCATCCCGAGAGAGAATTTCCTCCACCGTGAGCGTAAAGTCTTCGGGAGCCACCTGACGATACTTAAATCGTGTCTTGATCGCGCCTTGGTCCAGCGTGGAGTCGTGGTGCAGTTGCCAGTACTCTTTCTCCTTCCTTTCTAGATCCTCCCGCAACTGCCGCAGTGTCTCCTCCTTCTTGCCGTCAGCTTCATGGCCCTTCTCACCCTTCTTTTTCTTGTTCTCACGGATCATATGCTCAATGTGTTCGCGGCGCCCCGAAAACGAAGCCGTCTCTGCGGCTTGCAAGGAAACCGACGGGTACAATAATGCCAGCGCATCGTCGACGACATGGATGCCATCATGCTTGTTCGGCTTCCCGTTCAGTGTCTTTTTCCTTGTCATTGCCACGGCCTCTTCCAGCGATTTGGCCTTGTACCACTCCGGTTCTGCTTCCTCTTCCTCTTCCTCGCCACTCCTCTCTCCACCTGCATCATCTTTGCCCCTACCATCATCATCATCATCGCCATCTTTCATTGTTCCCACCTCTTCTTCTCCTTCTTCAAAAAAGGCCATTTCCTCTTCGTCTACATTATTCTCATCATAGTAAGCATCATCAAAAATCTGCGCCATCTTCTTGTCAAACTTCTGTGGATCAAACTCTTCCTCCAGATCCTTCTCGCTCCACAATTCCCGCAGACGAGCCATCGCTGCTTCCTCGTCCTGATCCTCATTTCCACGCAACTTCTTCTTTTCCTTCTTATTACAAATATCGCTACCCTGGTTCCCCCTAATGCCCGCAACGGAGGCAATGAGTGCCCGCTGAGACTCAATTTCCTGTCGTTTCAATGTCTTGAGCCGACGCAGCTCCGCTACCTGTTGCTCCCGCAACTCCTTGATCCTCTCTAGCCTGCGCATACGGGCATCTTTTCGCGAGGACTTAACACTCTTGCGCATTATACCGGCGGCATGCTCGCCAATAGCGCGCGGGAAGGTCTGTACGTGATCGGCCTCCTCCTCTTGATGACGGTAGGCGCGGTCCTGATAGGCGCGCTCCCACAGCTCTGCTTCCGCGTAGAAACGCTCATCCTCCTCTGCCTGCGCTAACTCAGCCAACGCAGCGTAGTTGTTCCCCTCTTCTTCCTCCTCCTCTTCCTCTTCTTCAGCTTCAGCTTCAGCTTCCGCATGAGAGCCATTCTCATAATTCCCGCGATTCAACACCTTTTGCTTTCGTTTCTTGTTGTTCTCTGGCTTCCAAAGCTCTTCCACAAAAAACTCACGAAGAAATGCTTCATCGGGATCTTCGTTCGCAGGATCCGATTTGTCTGCTTCACGGATCGAAAAGGCCCCCTGCAGCAACCGTCTCGCCTTTGAAGAATTTGTGTGTTCCGCCTCCCTCTCCCCCGTCTGCATGGCGGCGTCAACAAGCTGCACATCAAATGTCTCCGTGCTTTCCGCGACGCTTTTCAGAAAGGACTCACGCAATGCACGCTCCTTGGCGGTCCGCGGCTGAATGCGTCGGTTCCCCTGCGGCTGATGACGGCCCTCGTCATCGTCGTTACTTTCATGGCCACTCGCGTGGGTCTCAACCCCCGTGACAACCCCCCGGCGGTATTCATCGGCGAGGGTAAACTTCTTCCGCTGCTGCCGCTTCTTTGCGATGGACCGCGTGAAGATCTCCGTGTTCTCACGTATCTGCTCCTCTGTCGGTGGGAAAAAAACATTCTGCGGCCCAAGCGGGTCATCCGTACCGTCCTCCGCATTTCTGTTTCCGTCGCCATGTGTAGATGAGGCATCAATCTCGTTCTTTTCGTCGTCGCCGTGTTTCTGCTTCCCCGCTTGTTTAACGGCCGACTGACGAATGGCAAGAAACGCCCTGGCAAATGCCAACTCCTTTTCTTCGGTCAACAGTACCGCTTCATCGTCCTCTTCGTCTTCTTCATCCTCATCCTCATCCTCCTCGCCTCCGTTAAGGCGGAGTCGTTTGCCGTACTTTTCGGTGAGCTGCTGAATCTCCTTCCGCCGCTTCACCTCCTCGTACTTCGCCGCGTACTGCTGGTTGATACGAATACCTCCATCGTCACCGTCAGCCGTCGTGTTGTTAATGCCATTCCTTTTCGTCTTTTTAATTTTCCTCATGGATTCCACGTCCGCCTGAAACATCGGCCGCTGCTCTTCTTTCCACGTGTCACCGTCGCCGCTGCCGCTGCTGTCCGTGGATTCCGAATCGCTCCTCGCTTTTTGGGGTGCGGTGCCAACAAACGACATTTTCTTCTTTCCAGAAAAAGGGGCATACGCGTGTGGGTCACGGCGCCGCTCACGCATGGCGGCGGTGACCATCTGCTGTGCCAATTCTTCATCTTCCTGGTCGTCATCGTCGTTGGAAGAGGAAGAATTTGCAAAAAGATCCTTCTTGACCATTATGGATGTCTCCACCCTATTTCGTACCCTTACGGTCCCTTTCTCTCACTTAAATTGTAGGTATTTGTGTGTGTTTGTGTGCAACTCTCTCTTCTTCCGTCTCTTGCGTGCTCTTCGATAGCGGCAATAGAAAACAATCGTCACAAGGCGTGTCGTATGTGTGATCAGACAGTACTCACCCCCTCGACACAACAAAAGGAACACACACACACACACACACAGATATATAAGGGGTGTTTAAAAAAACACATATAAAAAACCATCAGAGAGCAAAGAAATATGAATGAATTCTAATTCCCATAACCCCAATGGATCTCAGCCGTTCACAGACCACACATACATAGAGTCTTTCCCCCTCTCCCTCTCTCTCTCTCACTCTTCCATTTCCCCCCCCCAAATAAATAGCAAAAAAGAAAAGAAAACGAAAAAAAAAAAAAACGTCTATAACAAAAATAATATAACTTTTCCTCGTTACCTGCGGGAATGAATGTATTTCTATGTTACGGTCCGCGTAAACCGCTGCACAAAAGGACACGACGCTCTCACACACATACATACATACATACATATATATATATACATATATATATCAAGAAAGCCTCTTCTTTTTAATTATTCACTTCTTTCTCGGTCTCCCTCTCACACAACTTCTTTGCTTTGTAAATATCATTGCATGTATGCATTTAAGTTTTCATTGTTTTTCAAACAAAAGTAGACGTATACATTTACAATAATAACTAACCAAAGGCCTCTTTTCGCCCACAATCATTGCATTACAGAAAGGTATGTATTACAACGTCTTGGCCATCTTTTTCTTTGGTCAGGTGCATAAAAAAGGCCTTTCCCCCCCCCCCCTCTTTAAGGCACCTCAATTAAACAGGATAAAAGAAGAAGAAAGCTCGAGATTATCTAATGACAGGCCATAAGAAGTGTGTCTGTGTGTGTGTGTGTGTGTTTAAAGGTATCCATTTGTATTACATATGATTTCAAGCATCTTGTTGGGTGAAATCGCCTTTTATTCCCCACGCAGGCGCACCCAGACATCCATGTAGAATCCAAGCAGCTTTTCCATGGCCGTAAACTGCACGGCGGTGAATAAAGGAGACAGGGATGCAATCGTCAACAGCATGAGTTCTACACTTTCAAGGGCCGATTCCCCAATGCCGCTATCACCACCACTTACGGCCCTATTTTTGCGATTGGCCTCGGCACGCGTGATGAGGTCACGAATAGCCACATCACGCGTGGAAAAACACCGAATGCTGCTGCGTACCATACCAAATTCATAGCCAATAAAGCCGCCAATGCTGCGTAAGATTTCCACCGCAGGTACACCGCTGCTCTGCTCCGCTCCCACATCAAAAAGAACGCCGCGTCGCAGAAACTCAAGACATGCGTTCCACGTGAGTGTCACGCCAGGGACATCGTCGTACAACGTCAGTAGACCCGTCGCATTGAGCACCGCACGGCCATACAACATGTGGGCAAAAACCGTCAATGGGTGTTGCACCAAACACTGTGAAATAAGGGCAGAACAAACGCGGTAAATAATGGCCCGCAAAATAACTCGGTGCTCTGCATCCACCTTTTTGCGATCCTCCGCCTCTTCACGACGACGCCGGCGGCGCTCTTCGCTTTTGTGCTCGTCGAGTTTCCGCGACCCCGATTCCACTTTGCTGAGGTCGTCATGCGAGTGTTTGCCGGAAGCATCATGTGGCCTTCTCGCCGCTGCCCCTTCTTCTTTTCGTGTCTTTGCCGCCGGTTCTCTATTCGACACGCGACTGCTGTTCAAACTCCCCGCAAAACTGCCCGTGAGATCCCCCCGCTCATCCTCGCTGTTCATGTTGCTTGCAATTTCCTCCTTGGCCCCTCCACTGGACGCAAACGCCCGTCGTGCGTAGCGGCGCAACAGTAAATACTCCGTGGCGTCCACAATTCTCACAAAGGCGCGCTGGCACAACTGCGACGCCGCCGGCACGACGAGCATTTCCAACACAACCCCCGCGAACCCAACGGCAATGCCTTTGCTGATCCCCGCTGGTGAGTAGCGCAGCGGCCCCGTCACGGGCGATAGATCACGCACGCGGAAGAGGAGAATCGGGGTCAAGACGCTAAACGCGATGGGATCCGTCATTGTATGAGCAGAAAGGCTCAATGTCCATCCAAGCGCCTTCCGCCACGCGCGACGGCTTCGAAGGTTACGGACAACCAGATTTGTCTCAAAGAACACGCGCTCCATCAGATAGTGCTGAGCAACGTTCAACAGGAAACGTGCCGTGAGAAACGGGATCACAACTTCCGGCGCAAACACCGCGCCCGCGCTGAGTTGCAAAAGCCGTCGTGCAGAGTCACTGAGGTCTCTAAAGCCCAACAGCGGTAAGGTCTCCGCATCCGTCTGTACCTGGCAGAAGAAACGGAGAACTGTGATAGGGGTGGCACGCAGCACGTGCGTCAAAAGAACTGTCTGCCTTGTGACGTCAATATCGCGCCAAGTACTCGATCGTTTCTTATCGTCGGTTTCTTTGCCGCGTTCGGAATGATCACCGCTGCGACTGCGGTGACGGTGCGATCGTGAAACGTCCATCGCATTTCGGTTGGGCACCGGCGGCGGCAGCTCTCCGCTGGTGTACGCCGACACGTTCAGAGTCGTGTTTGCCGAACCTGTGCGGCTTCCAGGCTGACTAGATCGATGTAGTCTGCGACCCCGCTGCTGCTGCTGTTGCTGTTCTTTTTCCCTCCCCTCCTTCGGGGCGCGTTTAACCCGTTTTCGCACAAGTGTCTCCGGGCTGAAGGAACGCACGGTGACGCAAACTACATCGTACATGAGCCATGCAACGTTGATGGGGTGCATAAAGTCATAGTAATGCATCGCTCACACCACCACCACCACCACCCTACTTTTTTGGAAATTTTAAACAATCTATGGTGGGAGTCGGTGTGCTGCTGAACACACAAGCAGGCTGACGGCACGAATGGTGGGGATAATGACAGCAGTGGTGGTATTTGGGTGCAGAGAGACTCAATACTCCCCAGCCACCTACCTCCTTTTTTTCTTCTCTTCATGGCGCAGAAGAATAAAAAAAGGAAATAAGGAAAACAAAAAAAGAAAAAAAAAGCCGTTGTGTCAGTGCTGCCCGCCATGCGCTATCCCCTCCCGCAATTGGATGGAAATGGCATCATCAACAACATCAAAAAAAAAAAAAAGAACAAACAGACGCACAACAAAAAACAACTCTCAGAAAAATGTACAGAATAAAACCTCAGTCTTCCCACTTCTCAGTGCCACAGCCACCAACACCATCTGCACGATGTCTCTTTCTCTCTCGTCCCCTTTTCCCCCCTACTTTTTGTTTTTTATTTTCTCTTCAAGAATGCACTACCGCCCCAATGATTCTGCCATTAACGTACGCGCCGTTCAGCGCCGCCACGGCTGCAGCCACAGTATCACCCTCCCGCGGCAACTCCATCACCACCACGCCACCGGCACCGTCTACATCATGAAGACCCAAGTGAAGAGAACGATCCGAGCCGAAACCCAAAGGCGGCACCTCTGGCAAGCTCCCCACACCCGACAACGCCGTGTCGCAAAGAGATTCCCGTAATGCTGCCGCCGGACGGAAGACACTCAACGGACGTCGCCCAACAAGCTGCTCCAGCATGGAGTTCAGGTGACATTGCTGCACCCCCAAGTCAACTCCATACAACACAACACGGGAGGACGGCAATGAAGTTCTACCAGAGCCACTGCAACCTTCTTCCTGTCCCTCCTGGTAACCTTTTTTGCTGTTACTATCTTTGTTATCATCGCCTTCGCCACGGAAACGGCTTTGGTACGTGGCAAGCTGTCGGTCCAACGCAGAAAGAAGTTGTTTCTGTCGCCGCTCTACCTCCGTGGCGGGTGAAGACTTCGAGTAATCCTCCTCGTACCGTCGTCGTCGTCTTCCTGTGCCGTGCAGCTCATCATCCCCTTGCTGGCATTTTTCCTGCTGACGGTGCGGTCGATGCGAGTCACGCCTGCGTGACGAAGATGAGGAGCGGCGCCGGTGACGATGACGTCGATACGGGGACTCACGCCGTTGCCGTTTGCGACGGCGATGATGATCATAATAATCTGAATTTTCCTCAAAGTCATTAGACGCACTCTCGTCACTATCAACATCCTCGTAATCAACGTCATCGTCTTCCTCACGAAGATCGTAGCTTCGTTCGCGACGCCGCCCGTGACGGCTGCCTGGTCTCTTCACAGCGCCGCCAATCCCCCCTCCAATGTAGCCGCTGCCGGTGCTGCGGTGGTAGTAATGGTGCGAGCGTCGTTTGTCGTCATCCTCGTAGTCCTCATGGGTGGATAAACGGCGGGAGTAATTACGGTGTGAAGCCCATTTCCCACCACCACCTCGACTCTCCACCGGGTAGGGGCCACGCTTCCATCCAGACATCACGCGGCACACCGAGACGTATGATTCCACACCACCCCTCACACACGCACACAAAGTCTCTCTCTCTCTCTCTCTTTTTTTTTTTTTTATTTTCTTTTTTATTTATTTTTATTTCCGTCTTGCAGAAAAAATAACAACAACAAACCCCGCACCAGACGGCAATTTTGTGTGCAATAATTAATGTTTCAGTTCTTGTTTTACTGCCTTACTTGTGTATGTTTCTCCCGCCTCCTACTCCTTTTCCCTGTGAAGTACAGGAATACACAGGGCACAGGGCACAGGGCACAGGGCACAGGGCACAGGGCACAGGGCACGGCAAACATATAAATAGGGAGAAAAAGACATTCAAACAACAACAACAACAACGAAGAAAAAAGAGGCATGTGTATTACACAAGAGATGAAACACAAATAAATAAATAAATAAATAAATAAAAAACATGCACACACACA